GCTGTGGGATTTGGGAAAGATCTTGGGCCTGTCCTCGTCCACATCATCAGCTTCCCCCTGGAGACACCTGTCCTCCGTGTCCATCCCATTCTCCCCAGCACCCTTTTTCTCTACTGCTACAGAGAGGGCCCTCCAGAGCCCGGCCCGAGCTGGGGCAGGGGAGTGGTGGCCTCGCTCCGGGCCGGAGGGGCCTTCTTGAGCCACGTTGTCTTTCTTGACGGGCAGCTCTGCCTTCTCCCAAGGGCAGATGAAGGTCAGTAAGCTGGGGCTTTGGGCGAGTGTTGGGACTGCTGCCAGGGCAGGGCCCGGAGCCAGAACCGGGGCTGGACCTGGTATGAGAGCTGGAGCCAAGGCGGAAGTGGGAGACAGCATCCTTGGCTCTCCCCGGCAGGCCCCAGGCAGGGCCATGATGGGTGTGGAGACCTGGTGCTGGATGAGGGGGTGAGGCAGCCTTCGGGCAGCCTCCTCCTGAAGCTTCCCAGGGGCATAGGAGCTGTCCATGCTGCCGCTGCTCTTGGCAGGGGAAGGTGGGGCTGACCGAGGGGCCCCTCGGGCTCCCTCCAGCCTCCTGGCCGATGGCCTCCGAACTGGGCTCGCCTCTGCCTTCTTTCTCTCCTCTCGTGCCTTGGCCTGCCGGTAGGTCTCCTCCAGATAGGCCTGGCTGGCCACCAGCAGGGCCTTTTCCCCGGAGCCAGCCATGACGCTGAGCGACTTCTGCAGGGAGGCAGGCCGGGCCCTGGGGAGCCTCTCTCCCACCGTCAGGTTGTGGGCGCTGGCCGACCTAACGCCCAGGGCAGGAGGCCCCGCTGCCAGCTCCCGGCTCTCTGCCCGGGCGGCCCTCTTGGCCAGCTTCCTCCTCAGCAGTGAGTCGCGGAGAGGTGGGTCCTGCTCCCCGCGATGGTTGTGGTCGTAGGCGCTGTGGGACTTGCGCAGGGCCTGGGGCCCCTCAGGTTCTTGGAGGCTGGAGCGGAGGAGCCGGCGGCGGGAGGAGCTGGGCAGGCTGCTGCCGCCTGGGGACCCCGAGTCCCGGGAGTGCTGCCGGGCCAGGGCCTCGGGGAACTCAGCCAGGTACCTCACGAAGGAGCGGCCCAGGCCCGGGCGCGTGTTGCCCCGCTTCTTGGGCAGGTGGGGGTTGTTAGCAGCCATTTCCTTGGTCTTGTGGACCTCTAGCTGGGCGTAGAGTTTCTTCAGCTCATCCTGCGGGAAGAGAGGACCAGGGGAGCAGAGCTGACATGGGGACCGATGGGCTACTCTCTCCATCCACTGGCTGCACTGTTATCCTCCGCAGCCCTTACTTAGACCATTCTCTCTGGGGGAGTCGCTTCCCCCCAAGCTGTGTCCCGTCCTTGCTTTAAACATCTCAGGGCCTAGCCAGTTTGGCTCAGTGGATAGAGCGTCAGCCCACAGACTGAAGGGCCCTGGGTTCGATTCCAGTCAAAGGCATGTACCTCGGTTGCAGGCTTCATCACAGTCCTGGTTGGGGTGCATGCAGGAGGCAACCATGCAGTCCTGGTTGGGGTGCATGCAGGAGGCAACCATTCGATGTGTCTCTCTCACATCAATGTTTCTCTCCGTCTCTCCCCCTCCTTTCCACTCTCTCTAAAAATCAATGGAAAAATATCCTCAGGTGAGGATAAACCAAAAATAAATACAAATAAATGGCTTGGTGGTTGAGCATTAACCTATGAACCAGGAGGTCACAGTTCAATTCTGGGTCAGGACAAATCCTTAGACTTTGGGCTCGATCCCCAGTAGGGTGCGTGCAGGAGGCAGCCAATCAATGATTCTCTCTCATCATTGATGTTTCTATCTCTTCCTCTCTGAAATCAATAAAAATAAACTAAACCTCTCAGAATTCACCACTCCATTTCTGCAAGACCAGCACCAGCCTGGTTCCCAGCCGGACCCACTCGGACCCACTCAGCTCCGAGGACGCAGTGTGTACTCACTTCCCGGGCCCTCTTGCCTGAGGGGGCAGGACACCTGAGTTTCAGGCTGCTGACTTGTCATGCCCCTCGAGGGTGTTGTCTTGACCTCTCTGCGCCTCTGCTTCTATAGAGTAACAATAACTGGCTGCCTGGTGTTAGCTTCCTTAGAAGGATTATGTGAGGTTGAGGGACCAGTGGGTATGAAAAGTGCTGTATTCAGGTGTAAATGATACAGTGGGGCCTTGAAAGTCTTTTATACTTTGGACCATTCTCCCCAGAGCCAGCATAGGGAGAGTAGATTGGTTGCTGCTCCGCAAAGTGGAGACCAGGGGTGGTGTGGCCATGGCCATGGCCGTGGCAGTGGCCTCCACACTCTGGGGTCCCTGCAGGATTGGGGTCTCAGCTCAGCCTCTCCCAGCGGGCAGGAGGCAGGGCAGGCAGAGCTCAGAGGGTGTGGAGGACACAGGGGGAATGAGAGGCAGCGGAGTTGGGACAGGAAGGAATTGGGAGATGAAAACAAGTTGGTGTAGAGGCGGGCCCCAGCGGAGGTGGAGGGATGGGCAGCATGGCTAGTGAGGCTTCCCCACGCTTTAAGTTTTATAAGACAATGGGCTTAGACCACCAGGTCTCCTTATTTCCTGCCCACTGAGCCCCTCGTGAGGGTTCCCGTGACTGTAATGCTGCCCCTAAGCAGAAAAATGAGAGTACAGATGTGCTCCTGGGAGACTCAGGAAGAACTTCCTTCTCTAAGAGCCAGGTTCAGGGAAAGGGGGCCCTCGGTGGCTGCCTGAGCTGCCCGGCCCCAACTGACCAGAGTCCCCCACTGCCCCTGTGATGCCCCTGCTGCTGGGGGACATGGGATGAGAGCTCCACTCACAGCTCTGCCTCCAACTTTAAATAGACTCAGGGAAGTAGCTCAGGGCAGTGGTAGAGAAGGAGGGAGGCAAGTCTTGGAAAGCTAGGAGCAGGGCAGCAGCGCCCCCTGCCGGGTCCCTGGAAGCTAGCACCAAAGGGAGGCGGAGAGGGCGGGAGGGCGCGCCTACCCGAATGTCTCCAGGGTCCAGGCTGTGCTCGCTCCAAGCTGAGACGGTGCTGCAGTTGAAGTAGGAGCCTGAGCGCTGCAGGTCCAGCTCGTCCTCATACTCCTCATCCACCATCTCCTCTCGGGGAGGAGCCCCCGGCTTCCAGAACTGGCAGGGACACGGGCGGGTTGGGAAAAGGACTCACCTGGGTCCCTGTTCACCACTCCCCCACCCACCTGCCCAGGGAGTAAGTCTTCATGAATCCTCACCCCTTCTCTGACTCGGGATTCCGGAATTCCGGGTCGAAGACTTGCTTCCTCTCACCCGCCCTGATCTCGAGCTTAGAGACCAGGGGGTCTCGGCCTCCTGCCTCTGCAACTCCTAGCCGTGTCTTCCGCTCCCCACCCCTCTCTGTAACTGCTTCCAAGGTGATGTTCAGAGTCCGCCTACCTTAAAGCTTGGTCACCAAGACCCCTCCAGTCCTTCCTCTTATTTCCCCTGCCCAGGGGTTGGAGGTAGCTTCCTCCCCCGAGTGGGCTCCTTCCTTAGGGTCAGAGCCCACACACCCACAGTGTGCCCTCTTCACCGGGACCTGGAGAAGGCGCTGCCGCTGCTGCAGATCCACAGTGCCCCTGACGGAGGGTGGGGGAGTGGGGGGGTGGTCTGCCTTATACCCTGGAGGGGAAAGAGCCTACCTTAGGGATGAAGAGCAGAGCCAGGGTGGCGGTGGCTGTGCTGTGGGTGTGGAAGAAGAAGAGGAGGAGGGTCCAGTCCGGGTGCAGGGAGGGAACCAGCACAAACCTGAGAGTGTGGTGGGAGGGAGATGCTTACTGTGGGTGGGGGTGGCCTCTTCCCCCTCCCCACTCCCCCTCCCCCAGCTCCAGCCTGATCTCCATGGAGCTACGGGTGGGGTGAGGAAGGCTCGCTTCCTTCTCACCCTCCCTGGGATGGAGGTCCTGCCTCAAGGAGCCCTCCCATACTCCAGCTCGCCTTCTCTGGCTGCCTACAGTACAGGCCTGTGCCCCACAACCCTATTATGGACACACGGCAGGCACGCTACTGGGACAGCTGAGACGGGAGGTGGGAGAGTCAGGGAGAACTGAGCAAGTGTGGGAGGCACTTCCTCTTCCTGGGTGTGGGGTGAGGCCTGGGGTACGAGAAGGGTATCTGTGGGTAGGGAGAGAGCCCCAGGTGGGGGGGGGGGTTTCCTCACCTTGCTGAGGCATAGCTGTGTTGTAGGGATGGCCATGGGAAGGGGGTGCCCTCGTCTAGGAGAAGCGAGGAGTAGTGTTGGGCGGGGAGGAGCCGTGAGTAGGGGGCCCGTCCTCACCTGGCTGCATAGAAGGCAGCGGAGAGCAGCAGCTCGTTGTGCAGGGCGATGCCCAGGTAGCGCGGCTCGTGGAAGGCGGAGGGCACCGCCCGCGTGGCGTAGCAGAGGAAGCTGCCCCAGCACAGGAGCAGCATCTCGGCTGTGGGGAAGCGTGAGGGGCAGAGCCGGCACCCCCTCAGCAGCCAGCCTACCCCTTTCTCTGTGGGGCTTGCTGGGAGGAGCCGGGGCGAGGGGTCAGGGGTCAGGGTGCAAGGCCGGAGGGAATGGAAATGCAGAGCCGGGCCCAGAGCGAGACTCACCAACAGCCATGGTGTAGTCCCAGCGGTCGTGATGGCAGAGGTAGAAGAGGCGGCCCGTGCGAGTGTGGCCCCGGGTCACCAGGGGCGTGTGCAGCCCGCCTCGCTCCAGGACCCTCACTGTCCACACAGCCAGGAAGCCCAGCACCGGCAGCAGGAGCAGCCCCAGGCGCCGAAGCTGCTGCCCACTGCTTGGATGGGGGCCCCGCTGGGCCGTTCGAGACAGAAACAGCTGGAGCACTCTACAGGGGTACAGGGGTGTAGATGGTGGGTGGGGGAGAGGGGAGGGCCTAGGAGAGGGGCCAGGGCTCTGTCCTCTGACCATTGCTCCCCTCCCCTCCACATGTACCTGTTGCCCCATCCCTTCCATGGCTCCCTGCCTCCTTACCCCCAGAAAAGTGATGAGGGGGGAGGACAACAGTGATGGGGGCAGGCCTTGGGGACAGGGAGTGGAGCTGGTAGGGATCTGACTGTGAAGCGCTCCATCCCACCAGTGAGCTGGGGTGGCGGGAGTGAGCAGCGTGAGCACAGACCTGCTCCAACCCCTACCTGTAAAGCTTGAGTATAATGGTGCCGTAGACAATGGCAAAACCCAGCAGCCGGACCCAGCGGAGAGCGATGCAGCGGAATACGCTGGGCTTGAAGTACAGGATGAAGACCTGTTTGGGGGGCGAGGGGAGCAAAAATGGCTGCTTTCCACTGCACTCCTACTATGTGCCAGGCCTCCTAACACCCTTGTCACAGAAGCATCGTCATCTCCATTCTGCATGGGAGCAGCTTAAGAATCAGAGAGGAGCCCTGGCCAGTGAGACTCGGTTGGGCCTTGTCCCAGGCACAAAAGGGTTGTGGGCTCAATCCCCTGCAGGGGGCGTGCAGGAGGCAGCTGATCTCTGATTCGATTCCACACGCCTGGGTTGTGGGCTCAATCTCCTGTAGGAGGCGTGCAGGAGGCAGCTGATCTGTTCCCCTCTCACATCGATAGTTCTCTCTCTCTCCCTTTCCCTTCCTCTCTCTCTCTAAAGAAAGAAATCAATAATAAAAAAAATCTTTATTTATAAAAAAGATCAGAGAGGTTAGGGAACTTGTCCTAAGTCACAGTGGGTCAGAGGGTTCTTTTAAGCTTGGACTGTTTGCTTCCGGAGCTCACTAGGCCAGCCTGCCATTGGTTGATCTGAGTGGGGGATTTGGAGGTCTCTTACCCCCTCCCCTGACAGGGCAGAGAAGAAGTATCCGGGGTGTGGAGGGTTCCACATGGGGACTGCGGGAACCCGGCGGGGGGAGGGGGGATGGAGGTCAGCCTCTGGCCACAGACTCACAGGGAAGTAAAGCAGCAGGGATCCAAAAAGGATGGTCTCCAGCAGGACAACTCCAGACGCCCGGATCCTCTGTGCGCCCAGGAACAGAGAGGCGGGTGAGCAGGGAGTGGGAGGACAGCCCGGATGGTGCGGGGAGGGGGGGCGTTCTCAGACCTGTTTTAGGGGTCACTCAGTGGTCCTGAGCTAACACTTTACCCCATAACATTAGCTCTGCCCTCCATCCATAGCCGCACTCCTAGTCCCACCACAGGCGCTCAGCTCCCCTGGCACGAAGCCTGGCTAAGGCCCAGGTTTCACCCCCCACCAGCCTAGCCCCATTCTCCTCCCACCCCAGCCGGGCCTTGCTGCAGACCTGGGCTCAGGTCAGAGGCTGCTGAAGCTGGAACGTGCCCCATGCATTCCTCCACGCTTTGGTTCAGGCTGCTCCCTGGTCTAGAGAGCTCCCTCCCTGCCCGGTAACCATCTGGCTGAGCTTCCAGTGGCACCTTCTCCAGAAAGTCTTCCCATGTCAGCGCAGGCAGGACAACCGGGTCCTTTCCTGAGCTGCCACAGAAGCCAACACAAACTCTGTCCTCAGTCCTGTCTTGCTCCATTCACCTGGGCGCTCCCGAAGGGTCCAGATCACTTCCCCTAGTACCTACACACTATTTCGAATCAAGTCAAGTCCCTTCATTTTACAGGTGAAGAAACAGGTCTAGCCCTAGCCGGTTTGGCTCAGTGGATAGAGCATCGGCCTGTGGACTAAAAGGTCCCGGGTTCGATTCTGGTCAAGGGCACATTCCCGGGTTGGAGGCTCGATCCCTAGTAGGGGGCATGCAGGAGGCAGCTAGTCAATGATTCTCTCTCATCATTGATGTTTCCATCTTTCTCTCCCTTTCCCTTCCTCTCTGAAATCAATAAAACTATGTTAAATAAAGAAAAAGAAACAGGTCTAAGTCATGAGGTCACCCACCTAATGTCACATAGTGTGTTCGATTAAGAATCAAGGCCAGAACCCATTTCTCCCAAATTCTAGTAGCCTCTGGTCTCGTGGGTGCTCGGGACCCGAGATGGGTAGGACGTGTGTGTGGGAGAGATGTGGAGCCTGGCTTACCTTGCTCCGGCGGCAGCGGTAGGAGACCAGCATGCTCAGGAAGACGGTGAACATGCAGCAGGCCTGGCAGGCCAACACTGCTGCCCGCAAGGCCGGGGCCTCCTCTGCCAGGCATGGCGTGGCGTCCAGGCAGCTGGTGCAGCCCTCAGCGCAAGGCTGGCACTGAAGCAGCCTTCCGGAGCCGCCTTGCGGGGACCCAAATTGCCCGGTAGGTGGGGTGGCATTCCCCTCTAACCCTATAAAGAACAAGATGGGCACAGAGACAGCGGCCGGCTGGGGCATGCTGAGATCCTAGCCTTCTCTCCCAGTGGTCACCACAGCCCTCGTCCTGCCCTCCTCTGGTGGCTCTGGGGTGGGGTCAGGAGGGGAGGAAGGAGGAAGGACTCCGCAATGACATACCCCAGGCGAGGCTTGCCCCGTAGAAGCCAGGTTGGCAGCGGCAGAGGTAGCGGCCAAGGACAAAGCCCTGACTCTCCAGAGGGATGCACTGTGGGAATGACAAAAACAAACAAACAAAAAAACAATAGATATTTGTATGGGGCTTTCCCTCCTGGGAACAGAGGGAGGATCCATCTACCTTCCTACCCATTGCTCGTGGGTCCACACTAGGGCATCTCACCAGAAGCCCTCCTTAGTCCCAGGGAAGCCTTCCCTCTGTGGGAGCCCTACTGTACCCCACACCCACGGCCACTCTTCTCCAAGAGGCACCCAAGCCAAGAGGATGGGGCTAGAGCACCCTTTTATTCAGACCAGCAGTGACAGGAACCTCACGGGTCCCATTTCCCAGTGCCCAGCTGGGCGAGTGAGGTGCTGCGGGAGGTGGAAGTAGCAAGAACTCTGAGCCCAACCACACCCGTGTGCCTGCATCCTGCTTCAAAGGGTCCCTTCAGCCTCCCTCTTGGGCATGCCAGTGGGTTGAAAAGGCTCCCACAGAGGAGTGGCTTCCTCCGTCAGGGGCCATCTGGCCTTGGCACAGGCCTGCTTTCCCCAGCCCTAATGCCAGGCTAATGCCAGGCTGGTGGGATGCCAAGGCCAGCTCTTTATTCCACCTCCGCCCATTAATAGTTACCCAGCAGGGGACAGAGCAGACCTCAGAGCTAGGTGAGGAAGACGAGCCATGGATGAAACCAGATCTGCTGTAGGGGAAGGCTAGAAACAGCACTAGGCAAAGGAAAGGGTGAACCCTCAGAGATTATTTTTAAAATTTTAAAAAATATTTTGTGTATATTTTTATTGATTGAAGGGAGAGGGGTGTAGAGATAGAAACATCAATGACGAGAGAGATTCATTGATCAGCTGCCTCCTGCAACCCCCGCCCCCCTACTGGGGATCGAGCCCGCAACCAGGGCATGTGCCCTGACTGGGAAGAGAACCGTGACTTCCTGGTTTATGCGTCAATGCCCAACCACTGAGCCACACTGGCCAGGCAAACCCTTGGAGATTCTATATCCAGCTCGACTTCACCAAGAAAGGTTAGAGGGTGCTGCTTCCGAAATCTCGGCCCAGCTTCCCCTCTTGCCTGAACCACTGGGACACGTTCTGCTCCTGCCACCATCTGCACAAGCAGACTAAAGCCTGCCCAGAGATGTGACTGTGGCTAGGATTTAAAATGCACCGGACAGTAGGGTCCCTTCTCTGTCCCTGGACTTATAGCTGCAAACACATGTGCCCTGAAGAGCAGCAGATGCCCCAACTGGCCCCAGGGCTGCAGGGCTTGCCTTGGCTTCAGTCCAGCTCAGGAACAAGCACGTATCAATGTGACTGTGGGGCAGGTTAGGGCACTGGCCTCCCAGTTCCCTGGTACTGGGCTCGCAGGATGACCAGCCGTTGCTTTCCATTGTCGAGATTCTTCCGCATCCGTGGCTCCGATTCTGCTGGCATCTGGCCTGGGGTCCATCACCTACACCATCCCAGAGCGCTTCGAGCTCCTGCTGTGGTTAGGTTCCTCCCACAACTCAACCAGCAGCTCCACTTATTTCAGCAAACACCGACTGAGCATCCCTTGTGGGTCAGGAGGAGCCTGGGGCTCTGGTGACAGGACATGACAATGTGGTCCCCGAGAAGGGGAGGGGATGGCTAACAGAGGCTCAGAAGATGGTCCCGGAGGGGGACCCTGGAGCCCCCAGTACCAGAAGGGAAAGCAGACAGGGAGGCTCACTGACATTTCAAAGAAACGAGGGTGGCTGTCCTGGGTAAAGGGTGGGGGTAGGCTGTACATGTCCCCACCTTTTAAAAGCCTGGAAACCCATTTTTAGCTCATCACTAGGGGCTCCCCTGAAGCCCTGAAAGGCTGGTGTGCCTCTGTCAGCTGCTCCTGGGAGCTGGGTGGTGGCAGTGGTGAAAAAGGGAGGAGTTAGGACCCTATACCCCCCCCCCCCCCCTTATCCTTACCTGGGTGCTGTTGAGATCACACAGGTGCGTGTTAGAGTACCATCCTGGGCCGCTGGCACACTGATTGATGTCCACATTCTGAAGATCTATGTCCATCTGCACCTGGCCCCTAGGGCAGTGATTGGCAGTTAGAGGCATAGCGAAGGCTGCCAGGTAGACATGTGTCCCTCGGCCCCAAACTATGGGCAATGCAAGCTCTGCAAACCAGCACAGCGGTTGCAGTGTGCGGAGAGGGCACCCGTGCATCCCGTTTCTCCAACGCTAGGAACCCTCACTGTCTCTGTAGGCAACAATCCCTCTCCCCCTAGGTCCTCTCCCATCCCCATCCCTCAGCTTTTCAACATCCTAGCGTTTCCTGGTTTCTATCAATTGGTAGGGGGAGGGGACATGTCAAGACATTTGGGAGCTGGGACTTTGATGATCTGTTTGAAGGGGATTTTCACACATTCCCACTGCATGTACACACACACACACACACACACACACATACACACTTTCACACATACACATTTGGAATTCAAGTATTAACCACCCCTTACTCTGCCCAAATCAGAATTCATCATAGCAAAGGAGATATGGAATGGAGAAGCCCCGAGTTACAGCTGCCAGGCCCAAGGGCTCCCAACCCCCCTGCCCTGGTTGAGTGGGGAGAGAGCTGGCGGGGAGCCGAGTTTCCTGGGGACAGCAGGGAAGCCCTGCTGGGGACAGTAAAGGGGGACACTGGAAAAACAATGTTATTGTTGAATGTCTTGAAGTACTGTGCCCACTGGCTGCCTCCTTCCCACCAGGACTCCCAATCACCTCTTTATTCTGGCTGAGGGGGGTCAGTTTTTTGAGGGGTGCCAGACTCCTGGGCCAGGACAGTAGGAGAGTGGAACTTACTTGATACAAGAATATAGCCATTGGGAGTGACCCTGAGGATCTGGCCAACTGCTGAGCAGAAGGGGCAATGGTTTCAAGTGTCCTCCCACCCCCACCCCAGCCAAGAACTTTCCTTCTCTTGGGAAACCCTCCTTCTACAGCTCTGGATTGCTAGAAAGCAGCGGGTTTAGCTCCCGAAGCGCCCATCTGGCTCCTCCAACATGCCTGGTGCATGGATTATCATTTTCATCCACACCAAGCCCTCTCACGCTCAGACCTGGGGGCCGGGACCTACACCTGGCTATATCCACACATCTTACATCTGTGCACACATATGTGTATCCCTATGTGTCAATACGTTGATTCCTACACAGTGCACAGTATGTACACTCACACCTAAATGTGTTCACACAGTTATACATACAGAGTCGACTGCAAATACACACTGCTGAATGCAAATATACACACCTGTGTCCCTCAGGCACACATGTGCATGACATGTGGCCCATGCACGGCTGGGTGGACTTGGGCCCCCAGCCCCACAAACCCACCAATGCATCGAACCCTGAACACACCCACTTACCTGATCTCCGGGCTGAGGTCTGGCTTGAGTCCATAGAAGGTGGCTGAGAGAGTGAGAAGCCAGCCTGGGCGGAGACGGCCCTCCTGGCATTCCAGGAAGGGGGGCGACAGCCTGACATGCTGCATGTCCCCCAGATACCCATCTCCCCGTGGCCACTTGGGGCTTCCGAGGCTCCCTAGGTCATTGGTCAGCACCCGCTTCTGCAGGTCTGGGGTGTGCAGGGCCCCGGTCAAGCTCTCTTCCGGTACCCCATTCCCAGACAAGTCCTGAAGGATGGTCTCCTCTCCCATTCGGGTGGCCTGCAGGGCCAGCTGCAGGTGGCTGGCTCCTGGCGGAGGGTTAAAGGTCAGCAAAGCCCGGTATGCCCTTGGGTCCCCCTCAGCCATGCTGCGCACCAGTGCCTGGTACCACTCCACATCCTCCTCCACACTGGACTCGCGGATGTCGTTGGCTTGTAGCAGCATGTTGAGGAAATTGGCGGCCTGGGTGAGGGTGCCCGCTGCCCTCCCTAAGACTGGGGGAAGCCCTGGACTGGCTTCTGCCCCTTGGGCTTCATAGCGCTCACTGCAATTAGCCCCCAACAGCTGCCGAGCATCCCCAGAGTAGAGAAAAGCCAGGGCTGCTTTAGCCCCCTCGGGGGCCATCCACTTGGGTACATGTCCTGGCCTGACTTGGGAGGACAGCGGGGGCAGAGAGCGGAGGGGCCGCAGACCCCCCAGAGCCCAGCCCCAGAGGAAGCAGCAGCCCAGCAGCCCCCACACAGGAGGAGGCATGGCCACTTGCCTGGTGCCCATCCCTGGGGCAGCGCTCGGGGAGCCTGGGGTCCAGGCTGCCTAGGGATTTGGTGGCTCAGGAGAGCCCAGGGAGAGAGTGGCTGCAGTCTGGGACTGCCTGCCTCCTCACTTCCTTTCCTCGCCTTCTCTTTTCCTCTCCCCCTTTCTCTCCACTTGTGCTGATTCGCCTGTTTTCCTTCTTCTAATGTCATCAGCTGGCTTCTGGACTCAGGCATGAGGGCTCTGCCACCTCCTCTCTGTGTGGCCCCCATCGCAAACCCTCTAATCCTGA